CAATAGAATGTTCAAAGCACAACAAATAGCATTGATGAAAGACTGTCCAGGACTGATAAATATGACATGTCACGTACGTCAAAGTTAATCAAAGCTTGAAGCACTTACGGTGATGGAATATGAGCGGTTCAGAGTGAAATAAGGTCCCGATTCCATGTCCAACAAAACGATCCACAACACCGTAATTGAATTTTTCTGCATGTTCACTGAGTAGTTCGGTGTTAAAATATACTCTCAGAATGAGAATAGTTGTAAAAAGACTAATACACATTAGACTTCAAATTATGTTAATTATAAACACCTTATTCCCTTCCCGATTTTCCTGAACAGGGCACCATCTCGACAAACAGCAATTCCTCTATACAAGCACTCCTCCGTCACCTGTCATAGTGTCATATAAGGCTTAACTTTATGAATAAAAGATCAAGTGTGACTAACAGCCTTCCAGATAAACAAAACTTACGAAATAAGAATAGTTATTCAATGCCTTAACTTTGTGGGCAAAATATCAGAAGTATGTAGCTAAAACAGCAGATTTCGACCAATATGTCAATGGCTAAAAGTCCTAAAACATCACTCTGGCTTCTTTTGAGAACAACATTTTCAATTAGCATTAGCCTTTACCCTTTAGTATAAACTTTTAATGGTGCACAATAACTTTGAAAAGGCTAAGGGCTACCTTTGGTCTTTGGATAACATTTTCAAAACATTGAAGCTAAACATTAAAGCTAATGCCAAATGGGGCTTGAGTCATATTTTACTTTATCATTCCTTTAGTAAGCAAAAAGACATACCTTGACAAGGCGTTTCATGGGCTCACTAACATTGCCACAAAGGAAGGTTTTCGATGTGTCTCCATGATAACCCTAGAAAAGAAACCAAAGAATATGAGCTTTGTAATAGGACATCTACTGAAGACACATAAAAAATGAATCAATAAACCATAGTGGGCACAAAAACTTTCAACATCTTACATTGAAGTATACCGTTACGTCAATGTTTATTATGTCACCATCCTGCATCAAACGAAGTCATTTCAGAAAAGAGAAGAGAATTGATATACGAAAGTGGGTATGGAAAATTACCAACCCATAGCTGCCGAGAGTCTGGTATTCCATGGCACATACACTCGTTGACCGAAGTACATACACTTTTAGGAAAACCCCCATAGCCCAGAGGAGATGGATAAGCACCAGCATCAATAATCATTTGGTGTACAGCTTTATCTATTTCATTTGTTGTTACTGATGGCTGACAATACATTAGGGAGTTCATATTTTGTAAGCAGCACCAATCAAATACAAGTAGATCAGTAAGAGCATTAGATTTAAGAAGTTTGAAAAAGGTTGAAGAAAATAAAATGCATTCAATTCGTCATTATCCATTCAGTTAACTACTGTACTCGAATAAGTTAGTAGATATACATCAGTTGGAACTTGGAAATGCCAATTCAGAATTGAAAACAGAGCAAAAGGGTGTTAAATATCTCACCCTAACCAACGTTCCTGCAAACTCGAGCACCCGGGCAGCAAGCTCACCTGCAGCCCTCATACGAGAAATTCCTTCGGCATCATGGATTTGATGCTGACTTGAGATTTCTGGCAATTCTCTTGAGCCAACATAAGGAGGCTTCGTTATGTGATCAGGAACAAGAAGCTGTGGCGACACCCGTCCTCTCTTTAAAGGTAGCCGCCTCCTGCTAGGGTTACTAGCAAGCTCACGCTCCCTGTTTCAGCATCCGATTTCCACCATTAATGATTCCTCTAAGTTCCTTTGAAACCCAGATTCATTCCAAAATCACACTGTTTCACAAAGAGAAATACCTTTTGATTCTTAGTGCCTCTTCCAAACCCCGCAATCTTCTCGCACAAACCACAAACCGCTTTTGAAAGTTCAAATACTTATCTAAAATTGAGCACAAAGAGGGGATAAATTCATCGAATCGAATATCAATTAGAAGAAACGCCAAACTTTCGGCGTAGTAATTCAATTCGATTTTCGGTAATAACGCGAAGCTCATACCAGAGAGAAGAAGTTGGCGACATGTAGGGCGGCTGCCGGAGGATGGAAAAGACGGCCGCCGGAGTTTGACGTCATCTTTAATATGCGTTGAAGATTGCGGCGTAACCGGCGTTATGGTGCGGGAAAGGGAGAGTGAAGTGAGCAGAGCCATTTCCTCACTTGCAATTGGCAATGGAGATGAAAGTGGAAACATTAATGTTATTTATATTTTCTCAAATTATTGTTTTACTACATAATATATTGTTTATACTTATTCGAATTAAAATAGATTAGATCAAAAATAAGTTTAAATATAATTATATTTATATCAAATTAATCATAACTTATTCCAATCAGTTCAGGTAAATAAAACATAACCTAAATCTTTGTGTCATTGTTTTAAAAAAAAATTGTGATGCCACTAAGGTTGTCATAAGATTTTTACAGCGTGTTTATAAAATTGATTATTTTTATTATTTTCTTTTTAAATTTTCACCCAACTCTATCCCGTAAGATATTCAATTTTATGAATAGAACACGGTAAACATTCCAAAAAGTCAGTGACACTATTGACAAGTGACAGTGAAACCATTATGCCACTAATATATCTCTACCATAATTTTTTCCCCGTAAATTTTGCTTTTTAAAAAAAAAATTAGAAATATTTAATATACAAGGATTTCATGATTTGTTTTATTTTCAACTAGTTTTGGAAAAATAAAAAAAGTATTTGTTTTAAATTAATTAGAGAAAAAAAGCTTATGAGTCAGTGATTCTTTTCCATAAAAATAAATAAATAAAATGTGATTTTTTTTGCAAGGCCAAGAGAACATTAAAATGAAAAATGTAATAATAAAATTTCGTTAGAAGGCGAAAATTTGAAGAAAACAACAACAACAACAACCCAGTTAAATCCCACAAGAGTAGGGTCTGGGGAGGGTGTGTGTACGCAGACCTTGCCCCTACTCGAAAGTAGAGAGGCTGTTTCCAAAGAGACCCCCGGCTCAACGTCGAAAGTTGCATTGCTTGATAACTGCTACTTCATTAATGATAAGTATATATGAACTTCATGTATGACAAGAGAATGTCGGTCTCTTATTAATATTTATGATAAAATCTATGTTACATACTCCGTATGATTTATAACTCAAATCGTGTAGTTTTAAAGCATTGCCCACTTATTGCGAAGTAGTTCGTCTACGGTGACATTTTAAAGCATCCTAACCACAAATGTTTATCAACAGCTTTCTCGATATTTAAAATTTCCATAAACGGTCGTGCAACGTCATACACCATGTCAACATATTGGTCTCTATCTGCGATTCCTGCAACGTGTGTTGTATCGTTCAAATGCTCCTGCAACAAATGTTGTACTGTTTAGACTAAATATAATCCCCATGTTTTCACCATGACAAACCCCCGTACTCAGAATAATTTGGAGTAAAACCAAATCAGAGAATGTGCTCTATAACGGTTGCATTACTTCCAAACTTCAAATTCTTACATGACTTACAGAAAAAGTGCATGTTATTGTTAGGCTTATTAACGTTGAGATTGAAGGAACAAATGTCCATAAACTTCACGACATTTTTAAATTGTTCTTTACTAACAATATCCTCACTTTCAAACTTATTGTACATCCGTTCAAGACCATCAAAGCAAAATCCAACATTGTTGGTAACAAAAGATTCGCAAAATGAATAATTTAAGTAACATATCAAGAATTCAAAGTAATACAAATCCGATCAATTCAAATAATAAGTAGCATAATTAACAACAAAAATATTGTCAAAAATAAAACAATTTCGCAAATATTTTGAATAATTTATAGTAAATCAAATGTTCGTAATTACCAAATGATAAATAGAAAAAAATTAAAATTAAACAATTGGATAATAAATAAATTTATTGTCGTGAATCAAATGTTTGTAATTAACGATTTTTTTGTCCTGAAAAATTTTAAACCAAATTGTCTCTGTAAATTCATTTTTCCCCAAATAATCCTCCTCAAATTTAAATAAGGAGTGTATCATTTGATCCCTTTAAACTTTATACATTTTGTTTTTAGTCCCTTTAAAGTTCATTTGATTTATTAATTTATATTTAAAATTATTATAAATTTTGTATTCAAACTAATTTATTAAATTAAAAGGTCAAATAAAATTAATATTTTTAGAAACTTAATGCAATAACTACATTATTATTACAAAATTTATTTGAACAATCTTTAACTAAATTAATATTTTTTTAGCAAAACTATTAACTATTTATCTAATGTTTAAATTAGAATAAAAAATCTAATACTCACTATGACGAGAAAATTTGATTCTATTAATTGTTACTTAATTACACACACACACACACACACAAACATACATGTATATAAATTTTTTATTTTTAAAATTTCGAAAAAAACTTATTGCAAACATCTAATTTTTACTAAACATTTTTTAACAATCGGCCAATATAATATATCCAGGAGGTCAAACTAGCTAAACTCATCAACTATTCAAAAGAGTTGACACAAATAACTAGCAATCATTAATTGACAATCAACTTCGAAATTAAACATTGCCATTATATCGTGTTCTCCATTAGAAGGAGAATATAGACTGATTTATCTTTAACTCATCCTAATGTAACCTTGTTAAATGTTTGAATTCTTATTTGAGTTGTTTCATTCATGATATGATTTGATAATTTAATTAGCGAATAGGTCATTAGTTTGAAGCACTCAAAAAAGGTTACTAGTTTGAAACTTACGGTAGACTCATGGAACTTGCCTCTTAACTTGATAATATATATATTATCATGCACCATATTTATTGTTTTAATTAATGTAATATTCAATATTAGATACACCAAAAATTCACTATATTTCCCTTATAATAATAATTAATTAATTTATCACAACTACATAAAAAATAAAAAAATAAAAACCCTAAGCTCAACCACACCCAAAACCTTGGAAAAAAATATATAAAAACAAAAAAAAAAGAGAACTTGAACTCTTTTTTTTTCCTTTTAAATTTATGGACATCTTGAATTTCTTCCAGGTCCTCCATAAAAGAAGAAATTGCCCCAAGCATGATTAGCCCCACCTTTAATATCATAGCAATTAGGGTGATCAGCAGTGACTCTAAGATTAGGCAATGGGATCAAAGAGTTGTCCCAATCAACCATTTGCAAGTTCCTAAAGTAAGAGGCCTTCCCAAAACCCTCTCCTGAAAAATGGCCACTCCCCATTTGTGTGGTTGTGTGTGACCCCGATCCTCTTCGGTTCACGACTTCGCCCCCAAATTGCACCATGCTCCCTGCCCCTTTCAAATGCGTGAACAACGCCGATGGCCAATACCCTACCAACGTCTTCGATCCGAACTGTAGCCACCAATGCCCCTTTTTCGGGTCCTGTCGATCGTCCAAATATCAAAATTCAGAATCTTTAATTGTCGTACGCCCTAATTAATACATTAAAAATACTACAATACCCTTATTTTCATGTTCATCTTTTTTTATTCACCCCCATATTTTCACTCATTAATTGATGACTTCTTGAAGACAAAAGGGAAAAACCTACTCAAGTGCTTGTACTTTATTTATCATAAGTGAAGTCAAAATGAGACTTTCAAATTAGAAGACCATAATAACTCAAGTGCATTGCCCACTTATATATTATATGCATTCTTGATGAAGCTAACACTGCAATTCATTTCAGATGTAAATGTAACTTTTTAAATATATATGCATGCGCACATTATGTTAATCACAACAATACATTTTTTTGTCAAAGACTTTGTGGACCAGCCTCGATGATTCGATGGTCCTGGACGAAACGAAAAAATGGGCATTGACCTTAAAAATATGGGCATCGACCTTAAACATTTTTTAGTAATAAACATAACAAAATTATACTCCCTCCGTCCCAAAAAGATTGGTACATATTGACTTTTTGTGAAATTAAGAGAGAGATATTTTGGTGTTGATTTTCCAAAAATACCTTGATGTGATGTGTAAAAGTAGGATGTAATGGGTAGATTATTAGGAAAAAGGTATGATTGATAGGTAGGATATAAAAAAGTAAGGGGTAAAAGTGGTTTTTTAATAGAAATGTAACGGACTTTACGGGACGCAGTTTTTTCGAAACGTATCGGACTTTTTGGGACGGAGGGAGTACTACGTAGAGTATTGTAATAATTAAATATGGGAAAACCTAGCTACCTAACAAAATTATGTTTACTATATGAAAAATGTATAGTTAATTCTCCGCAATCTTTTTAGATTGGAGACAAATTATGTGAACCCGTGTGTGTTTATATTACTCCTTTTGTTCGGAAATGTTCTTCTCATTTGACTTTTCTTGGTCAAAGTTTGCAAAACTTTGATTCCGATATATACATGGAAAAAATATATTGTATAATGAGATAATAAATTTAATATTAATATATTCTTACTGAGACGTAGTTTTCAAACATCAAATTTTTATAAAGTATATCTATATGAATATAGATATTAGTGGTCAAAGTACAATATTGGAGATCGTGAAAACTCAAATGGGAAGAATATTTTTTGGAGGGAGAGAATATAAATTAAAGAAATGAAGTGAGAAATATTTGTTAGTACATCCAAAAAATGGGATTTTTTTCTAGGATGGATGAAATAATAATAATAATAATAATAATAATAATAAATAATGATAATAATAATAATAATAATGTTTATAATTACGTACCTTCCAAATTAAAATGGTGATATCAAATTGTCGTCCACCGTAGGAAGATGTAGGGGAGATAGCTGCTCCAATGGATATTCTATTGTTTGTTTGGACAAAACCGGAGCACAACAAATTATAACAACCCGTCGTTCGATATGCATCACTCTGTTAACATATATATATATATGATTTCATTAATTCATTCGTTTATTAATTATATTATTCCCATGGAAGAAATTATATATCTTGTCACAAAAATAATAGTTCAATTTCTTATATTCCACCTACTATCACCATTTTTAAACAATTATTCATTATGACTTTATTTATATATTATGTTCATATTTATCTGATTTTTTGTACTTCCTTCGTCCCATAAAGGCGTTCTCGTTCAGGTTTTTTAGAAAATTAAAAGAAGAATAATTTTGTTTTGATTTTCCAAAAATATTCTTGATGTGACGGGTAAATAATTAGTAAAAAGACATGATGTGATAAGTATGTTAAAAATTAATAGGATAAAAGAATGAAGTTTTTTTGACAGAGTATATGTAAAGAGTCATAATAAATAATAATTTACTAAAATTCATCTCTTTTTTTTCCTCGTGTAATGGCATTTTTATGGAATGTGGAATGTGACTGAAATTATTATTCAAGGCCGGAAATTTGTTTAAAATGTGTGTCGTTGACTAGGGTTAAATTTGACTTCTTTTACTCGACAGGAAAAATTGAAATTGACTCTTGTCAAAATTGTTACAGGGAGATTCAATGGTTTCGTACAGCCATAGAAATGAGTTGAAATTTATTCACTTTTACTTGGTTTTCATTATTACCCAATAGTTTTTTTTAATTTTAAAAATAAAGGGGTAGCTGAAAAAAAATTATTCTTTTCGTTCCCCAAAGATCTTCTCAATATGTGTTACGAGTTTTGAATGATTATATTTGTAGTTCACTTATTTAAACGTAGGTGTAAGATTTTAAAATAAAATTTATGAAGTAAAAAGTTACATAAAAAATTCTAGCTACGAACACGACAAGCCTATATTAATTTTAAAAAACTAGTAAAAATAATATTTGAGAAGAACTATGAGAGATGGAAGAAGTATTATTTTAAAAAATATAAAGTGCAGACAAGATTTTGTTTTCGATTTGAGTTTTGTACGCGAATATAAATTTGTTTTAAAACAAGTCGACGATATTTTTCAAACTTAGAACTATTGGCCAACATTTGATATATACCGTGTCAAAGAACGAACCAAACGAAAAAATATAAGTTTGCTGGTCCCGAACAAACAAGATACGTTTTGATCCGAAGCTTGGTTTTTTCTTCTCCTCAATTATTTTCCGGTTCCACATTACATGGAACAAACCGAATAACGATTTTGACACAATAAAAATAATAATTGCATTTTCAGAACAAAAAACATGCAAAAAATAAAAATAAAAATAAAGTTATATAGACTTACGGTCCAGTAAGTGAAGAACCTCGGACGACTGTCCCCATAAATCTCTGGACTAATCTGTGTGTCATATAGACATTAAATTCTTCATCAGTTCCAATAATAATAATATTATTAATGTCCAATTCAATTACAGTAATGTGACAAAGAAATGGCAATTGAATACTGCCCTTTATTGTTACTACCCTTTGATTATGAGAGGGTAGATGAAAGATATAATGGGTGCTTTTATTTTATTTTGCTACCCCTTTTTCATTATTAATTTCCCAGATGTTAACTTCTATGTGTGTGTACCATGAGTGTGTATAACTTAAATGATTTTTGCAATGTATCAAAAGTTTAAAGAATCCAGACATGAAGTATGTCTATATTCATTCAATTTTTGATACATTTGAAAAGTCATAATTGTCAGTTAAATGTGAACACAATGAAAAGTCATAATTGTCAGTTAAATTTGACATCACAGTATCCTGCCCATAGATGATAGATAAACACTTACAGAGACCTTCTGTATTGAAAATTATTTTCTGTGTGTGTCACTGAGATACTATAACTTCAAATGTAGCATCAAATGTGGGACCCTCTAACTTTGTGTCCGTTATATTCCGATCTGGGTCTTACGTTTCTAACCCCAGTCCCTCACCCCTTGCGCCGATTCAAGACCCATCCTCCATCAAACCATCTTTAGCCCCCGCCACCCCATCCCGAAAATCAGCACCCCCGTCGAGCAACACCCCCTAATTAACCTGCACCCCTAAGTCCTTTTCCCTTGGCCTAACAAATCAACGTAAGGCTCCCAAATGGTCAGTGTCAATACGACACCGAGCCTTGAGATCACGTAGAACGCTCCCAAATGGTTCACTTATGCTTCTTCCGTAGTCACTAAAAGCGGTTTTTTTAGTGAACATATTGAGATTACTACTTCCTTCGTTCCACAAAACTCTTTCTCTTTTGTTTTTTTTGCTTTCCACAAAACAATTCCACTTTCTATTAAAAAACCACTTTTACCCCTACTTTTTCATACCCTACCTATCACATCATACTTTTTCACTAATAACCAAACTATTACATCTTACTTTTTCCCATCACATCAGGGGTAAAATTGAAAAGTCAACCAAAATTACACTTTCCTTATTTTTCCCCAAAGTCAAAACCGGAAGGGTTTTGTGGAACGGAGGGAGTATTATTATTAGTGAGAAATGGGTCAAAAAGAAAGATTAATGGAGGATTTTAAAGGAAAAAATTAAAAAAAAAAGAGTAAAAAAGAAAAAACATGCCTGCCAACCAGCCTCAATGGTGTTGAGGTCAGCACCAAAAGAACCAGAGATGATCCACATTTGTGACAAGCTAAATTCTTGAGCATTAGCCACATGAGGTGCCCACACATTCATACTTGCCTTTGCCCCATAGTATTGCTCCCCATTTACATACCCAACTGCATGCTGCCCCACCCCACCCCACCCCACCCAATAAAATCACATTTTTTAAAAAAAAATACAATAATAACTAACAAATTTTAAAAAGTAAATAAATTAAAAGTTCTTCTTTTGACATTTAGGGTCAGTGTCCTAATATGACATCAAAACAGTCATTTTGATGCAGTGAAATTTGCACTAAATAGGACTAAAACATTAGTCATTTCCCATTGTAAGAGTTAACCCATTTTATTTGTTTTAGTAATGAATTGGCCTCAAAAAGGCAAGTCACATTGTTGAGTTTTATAATGTGGTAATTAAAATGTCCCAAGTTGTCAAACACACTCATATTCATTGTTGTGCATGAAAAACAACAAACAAAATCCTTATAAAAACCACAAATAAATAAATAAATAAATAAAAGACATAGGTCAAAAGAAGAATGATATTGTCCACACAAAAAAATAATAATATTAAAAAAACACAGTGCAAAGGTTGCGTTTTCATGAAAAAAGTTTGTTACATCCACTCTTCATTTTAGAAACTTATTGGATGATACGGACACAACTTTTACTTGTACATTATCTCAACTTTTGTTTTCTAATCCCAAATTGACTAAAGAAAAATTTGAAGAAAATCTCTTGTTATTATTTTTTTTTTCGGATTTTGTAAAAGTGATGTGAAAATTAGGTTGCCGGAAAAGTTTCTAGTCTCTGCCGTACAGCTCTAAATTAATGTCGTCCTAAATTAATTTTCACCAATTTAATTAAAATATAAAATTATTCTCTTCCGACCCAAAAATTATATCATAATTTGCTGTTTAAAAATCACGAAAAGTTTTATTTACATGTGTGTTTTTTATTGATTATTAAATAACATAAAATATTTTTGTTATTTCTTGTTTTATAGAACTTGTTTGAAGCTTTTTGAATATGTAAGTTTATTTTTTATTTTAAACAAATATTTAAAAATTTAATTGAAAACTTTTAGAAAATCTCTTGTATATTCGTCTATTTTAATACGGAGTATTTTATTTTATTACTCTGCTATTACACAATGGCAAATTTACTTAAATAGGACTAAAACATAACAACTTTCTCAATGCAGTATCATACTCCCTCCGTCTCTAAATAGATTACAATCTTTTTTTCTCTCTCCTCTCAATAACTTTTTTTTGTTTACGCGATTTCATCAAGTATTTGATAAAATAAAATATTCTTGTCACCTCTTGTTTTGTAGAACTTTTGACGTAGTTTTTTAATATGTAATTTTTGTAGCTTATTGATATACCAATTTGTAAATAAAATGATTTCAAAAAGTAGAAAATTTTACTCCGTAACCCGTAATTTGTAATCGAATTGGGGACGGAGGGAATATATTTTTATTTCCCAATGTAGTATCGTTGTTCAATTTCCACTGGTCATTGTTCAAGTAAATGTTCAGCGCTACTGAATATTGTTCGAACTAAATGTCACCATCACTAGACCTTGTTCCCATCACTATACATTATCAAGTACTATTTAAGGATAAAAAAAATTGAATGCTACATTAGAAAAGCACATATATTTTAATACTCCACTATTTAATGCAAATTTTACTTATACGGTCTAATATTTATTTAACAATTGATTATTTTTTTTGTTGAGAGAGAGAAATTTAACTAAATATGACTAAAACACTTTCTCAATATATGACTATATGTTTTTATTTTCAAATGTATGACATTTGGTCATTATCAATTAGTTATTATTCAAGTAAATGTCAATCATTATTGAACGTTACTCCTCCCACTAAACATTATTAAGTCCTATTTAGAAAATAAAAAAATTTAAATACTACATTGAAGAATAATTTATACTCCGTATGTTTTAATTTATACTCGGTATATTTTAGTCATTATTAAGTCTTGCAAATATCACTTTAACAGGAGGAAAGAAACAAACCTCATGAAAGTCGGAGGTCGTGTCTCTCCGGACGACATCATGAACTGTTGTTTCTTTCCGGCCGAATCTCCGAACAGAACTCGCCCGCAAAATGTCTTCTTCACTTGTCCTTCTTATCGGCACTGTCCCTTCCGGGCACCATTCTCCGGTCATCCTCCATAGCTGCTGCAAACCTTCCATTTCTGCTTCTTCTTCTTCCTCCTCCAAATTGTACCCTTTCGGAATTTCCGGAGCATCCTATGAAATTTAGTAATAAAAAAACCTTAATTCCTGTCAATTACTGTAGTTTCTTGAATACCCAGATTTTTTTTTGGAAGAAACAAGAATTATTTAATAATGGGTTTATAATTTGATTACCACTGGTTTCTGACCCTTTAACAGTGGATGATAAAATGCCGGCTGTTTCTGTATGGGAACGCAATCAATTATATCACCGTCTGGGCTCTGCATTTATATCCCCAAAAAAATCATTTTCGTTATTAATTAGTACTATAAATCACACTAATTAACCCAAAAAAAATAAATGAATTTTATGAGGAATTTGAATTTTTGATCCAAGAAACAGGGGAATAATGACCTGTATTGTCTTGACAGAAGGCTTATTGATATTCATGAGACGGGCACGGACCATTTTCATCCTCCGGGAGTGGTGTCCGGGCCGGAATGTCTGATTGGACGGAGACCCACCGCCGTCTGCGGCGGCGGCGGCCGCCGACCATGCTGCCGGAGAAGCAGACAAGAAACAGAGCATGGAGGAGACAAGAAGAAGGGGAATTATCAGCAGGGGGGAAGCGTTAGAAGAAGCCATCTCATCAGGAATCTGCTTCTGCACATTGGCTTAATTGTCGTCTTCTCCAACCACAACAACAAACAAAATAGAAATAAAAATGGCTGCTCCGATTCAGTGTCCGAGTGGCCGAGTCGAACTCGGGCACAGAGATTTCTTTAAAATGGGGGGTGAAAACTGAAAAGCCAATCTCCTCAGTTTCTTGAATCCCATGGGAGTGAGGTTATTTTTGAGAATTTCACTCTCATGTGGGTTTGGGGAAATAAATACCACTGGGGGGCTGTAATGATCAAGACATGCAAAGTAAGTAAGCACTTTAAATATACAAAAAAAAAGAACTTTTGAAATGAAAAAAAAAAGAAAAGAAAAGAAATATTGGTTCGATCCCAAAAAGAATGTCACAATTACTATTTCGATTTCTTAATAACTTTTACTTATTTACTTATTAATTTTATTTTGTAAAACTTTTAATGTATATTTTAACAGTATAATTTTAATTTTTTATTTGTCTTTCAATTTATAAATAAAATAATTTTAAAAAGATGTATTTTGTTCTAAATGTTACAAATAATTTAAGAATTAACTTAGGGGTACACCAACATAGGGTATCCCGTATGTACACCAAGCCAACACAGACACAAAATGTCTGTATTGCACAGACATTTTGTCTTTGTGTGTTTGTATTGGCTTAGTGTACATATGAAGTATCCTATATTGGTGTAACCTTAGCATTATTCATAATTTAAGACTTCAATTTAAAAAGTTGTGAGGNGTGTGTTTGCAGTCTCCAATGCAAAGGACTGGGGGAGCTTTTGCTTTGCTTTTGTGTGTTGATTTTTTTTTGGGTGTGCATAAAATGAGATTTCACTTTTTCATAATATGTATATTTAATACTACGTATTTAGCATGTCGGTTTTTTTGTTTATTTAAAATTCTAGGAACGCAATAATAACACATTACCTTTGTTGTCTTTATTTGGGAATACAACATACTATTTTCGTTCTAAAAAAATTGTCACATTACGCAAAACAAAATTAAATGTTAAATTTTATTAATTTACTTTATTTAGAGTTTAGCATGGAAATTAAAAATAAAATTTGCATACTCCTTACATATTAAAAAAACTACGTCAAAAGTTCTACAAAATAAGAGGTGACAAAAATATTTTATTTTATCAAATAATCAATAAAAACATACAAATAAGCAAAAAAAATTTAGAAGAGAGAGAAAATAAGATTGTAATAAAAATTATAACAGATGGAGTATTTGTTTCTTAATACATGCCATGTTCTAATTTTTTAACAAAATAATCTACATCTAACGGTAAAGCTTTACATTTTTTCTTTAAATAAAATTTGTATCATTTATAATTGTAGACATACTTATGTTATGTGATGATATTTTATTATATTTAAAGGTAGTTCAAAAAACATGGCAAATATTTTTAATTTAAACATAAATATGAATATTTTATACCAAGCTATGAGTCGTTGACTTGAGTCAACCCAGTCCGACCGCTTGACCCAATTGCTAATTCGGATCGACGTCTGATCCGATTTTCAAACATTTCCGAATACTCGAAACTATTAATAAAAATTCAAATGATTATAAAAGGAATATGAAAGTAAATATCAAAATCCATAATACTGAACAACATCGAATACGTAAAAAAAACTATTGTCTTAACCAAAATAAATGATTCCAACAAAAATATAAATTCATAATCGACCAAGTCTTTTATGAAAGTAATGGTAAGACACTAAAGTTAGAGATGTAGAAGGTAAAATATATTTTTGGATATATGGGTCAAGTATAAATATATAATGGGGTGGGTATACAATTAGGGTAATTTACCTAAATAGGACTAAAACATAATGACTTTTTCAATATAGGACTATATGTTTTTATTTCCCAATGTAGGACTATTGGTCATTATCTATTAGTCATTATTCAACTAAATTTCCAGCATCACTTGGACATTATTCTTCTCACTGGTCATTATTAAGTCCTATTTAGAGAATAAAAAAGTTTAAGTCCTACATTGGGAAATGATTTATGTTTTAGTCATATTTAGTGCAAATTTCACATACGGTTACCAAATTTGCATTCGTTTAGTAATCGGATACGAATAATGGGCATGTTTGGGAATAACGTTAGCGATTAGCGTTAGCGTTTTGAAAAGGCTATCTACAACCAGCGTTTAGCGTTAGCGTTTTCAAAGTAATCTGTATCGTTAAAATTATATCCAAACCGCTAACGCTAATCTCAAACGTTATTCCCAAACAGGCCCAATATCTATTTAAAACGAATGCGGATTATTCCTGTTTAAATGGATACAAATGCAGATAGTAATCGGATTTTCGGTTATCCATTGACAGCCCCTATTAGAGGCCTTTGAATAGAATAATATCAATCTCTAAGGAAATACTTTGAAGAAGAAACTAGAACAATGGAAAACAAGGTCCCAAGGTCCAATATGGCATGTATACTAAATGAACAAGATTATAAATGCATTATTGATTCTAGTTTTACATAACACATGATTTGAGGGTTCTTGATATTAGATGTAATACAGAGAACAAGGTTTCTCTTTATGATCCCCAATGGAGATCGAATTCTAGTCTACTTAATTGCAACCTATTATCAGTAAGCAAATTAACCAATGATTTACAATGCTCGTTGACATTTTACCCAGATGAGAAATACACCAAATCGTAGAAGCCGATTAATAAACAAACACAATTAGAAATGTATTCAAGCATATAAGGTGACTAGTAAACAAACACTATCAGAATTCATATTACTATTATTGTCTCACATGGAAACACTTAAATAAAAACTAGGGAGTATAATTTATTTCATATATGAGAAATCAAAAGTTATTGATTTTGACTTTTAGTGAAAGCCAAAAAAATAAGAACAATACTTGGAGAACGCCACTTGGGGTGCAACAGGTGTACACCAATGCACAAATAGGTACACACAGATACTTAATTTCCGTGCACGCAAAGACATTAAGTGTCTATGTGTGCCTATTTGTATCTTGGTATACACTCAGGGGCAGAGCCAAGTGGGAGCAAATGACTGCAATTGCAATCACTCCCAACTTGATTTTTTTAATACTTTATCTGTTTCAAAAAGATATTCTCATTTTGACTTTTAGAAAATTTAAGAGAGAAATATTTTTGCGTTGACTTTTCAAAAATATCCTTGATGTGAATGGTAAAAGTATGATGTGATGCGTGAATTATTAGTGAAAAGGTATAATGTGATAGGAAGGTCAAGAATTAGTAGGGGTAAAAGTGATTTTTTAATAAAAATGAGAATGATTTTGGGGGACAAGTAAAAAAAAGGAGAGAGATTTTGGGAGTACTATCTACCACTATGTATTGCTCCATTTTGAATAAGAAGAGAGCAAGAAAATAATAAGAAGAAGAAGAAGAAAATGATGATGATGATGGATATTCAGTGTGATGGTCTTCTTCAATTCTGCAGATCCTCTCCGATAAATTCTGTACCTGTGACATTTGCCAAGCATGCTTTTCATCTATTTGAATATTTCTATCAATATATGTTATTGTACCCTATGTGTTTGACAAAATGCTCGTGAAACTTATTTTTATTTAAATGTCTCCTCTCTCCGAGCCAGAACTACTCGACACATATATCTTTCTTTATTTTGCACCCACTGATGTTGGATCCTCAGCTCGCTCCATACACTTGGTGTACCCCAAATAGGATTCCCCCTAACACTTCCCTAAAAATAAACATTGGTATTAAAATTATAAGTCAAACTATGCATGCAATAAAGATGAATGCATAATTGACCTTCGATTCCCCATTCCAGTTCTCTTCTCAGTCTTCAGTCACCATTTTGGGTCAGTCTGATCCCCCCAAAAATAATACTGACTCACACTGGAAATTAAAGTTACTAGTAAAAATATATATGTGCATGCAGCTCAAAGCTTTTAAAATAAAGTAATATAAATTATCTTTAAAAATGTTAAGAAAAGTTGTTTTTTAGCTGTTTATTGATATGATTGACCTTTTTTTTGCAATATGAAACGCAACCCATTCACTTTTAAAAGTTTAAGCTAGCTGATGTTAATTGAGAGGATTAGAATTTAGGACTGAGAAGGGAAATTCGTATTTTTTGAATATAATTTAAAAAGATTAAATTATATATTTTTATTCATATAAATTAATTATTCACAAAATCAAAGTATCTGTAAAATAGAAAAAAACTAAAATAGGAGTAAAATATTAAAAGTATACCAAAATATAATTTTTATGTTTTTATTCTTGAAATAGGAGTTAAAATACATATACAGTGTCAATCATGATCATATGCATTATAAAAAGAATAATTTACCTAAATAGGGCTAGAACATAATGATTTTCTCAATATAGAACCAAATGTTTTTATTTCCCAATGTAGGACTATTGATCATTATCTTTTAGTCATTATTCAACTAAATGTCCAGCATCACTTGGACATTATTCTTCTCACTGTCATTATTACGTCATATTTAGGGAATAAAAAAGTTTAAGTTGAGAAATGACATATGTTTTAGTCTTATTCAGTGCAAATTTCACTTATAAAAAGTATTCTAAAATACTCATACACAATTACATTTCATTTTATTTAGTCCAAAGATTATATTTTCAAACATAATGAAATTGTATACCCAATTTCAAAATGCATAATCATGTATTTCAAAAATAACCTTTATTTTGAAGGAAAAGAATATTGTATTTTGAAAATCAAGAAAATAATTTTCTAGAAACATTACATTATGAAAATCATATTTTCTCACTCAAATGAAGTTATATACCTTTCTGATTAGCGCTCCCATATATGATGCAAAAGAACCATTGATGCAACGTTTATGAAAGTTCAAGGACCATTGTTATAATTTCTATAGTTCAAAAATAATCCATACAATTTTTAAAAATTTTGAAACTAAAAACTCTTCTCAATTTTCAACAAATATAAAAGCCAATATTCCCATATATGGACTTTGATTATAGTCAAACTGTTTAGTGTACACTTCACTTGTCACGCACTCAAACTAAAAGTGGAGAGTCTTTATGATAGGAGTTGTTTGTTTGAATTCAAAGATTTTGGGTTTCTAATTTCTATAGCTTTTTTTTACTGGTTTTTTTATTTTTATTTGGCTTGCAAGCAAATCAACCAA